CGCTGTCCACACTGAAGTCAGGGCATCAGAATGGGAGATGGCAAAACCAGAGAGAAGCCAACCCATCTCTGTGGGTCTGAGAGCATGGTGAGACTTCTACTGCAGCAGCTGGTGAGACTTCTACTGCAGCAGCTGGTCTGCCTATCACACCTTCTTATGGCTAGGAGGCCACCCCAAAATGAGTTTGCATCTTCTAGGGCTTGAGACCACTTGACAAGGCAGCGTGACAACATCTCAGAACTGGAAAAGTGTGCAGAGGACATGTGCGCGTGCGCACGCGCACACACACACACACACACACACACGCCCCACTGGAGGCACAGAACCCTGAAGAAAGTGAAGCTAACTGAGCTCAGAAGAGGTCCAGCCAGGAGAAGGAATGGAAACAAGGGGAGTGGAGAGAGGGAGGGAAGAGATGAGAGATCGTAAAACCGAATCACTGTGGATCCCTGGCAGGCCTGTGGCACACACATCTGTGTTCACTCAACCTCTGTTGAGTCCTGCTAGGTGCCCACCTAAATATGTCTGGAAATCCCATCCCTTTTGGAAGCCTTTCCAAACTTCACTCAAGAAAGGACCCACTTTCTCCAGATGTGTTCTGTCTAACCGTCTCCCTGCCTCCAAGTTCTATAGGTTTCTACCCTGACAGCAGCTCATCCTAGAACAGCTCCACCAACACTGTCCACCTAAGCACCAGCCTCTCTAGCTCTCCAGGGATTCCCACTCAGGAGTGTAGCAGGCTCCCCCAGTCCACAGAGCTTGAAGGCTGCTTGAAATTCACCTGGTCAGTGCCTACCTCCATGCCCATTGTACAGATGAGAATATGAGCCCAGAGAAGAGGGCTGGCTGCCCAAGGGCCCAGGCTCAGTCATCAGTCACCATCGGAGGTGACTGGGAGCTGGCAAGTGCCCCCATGGCTCAATTCCTCACCTGTTAAATGGACTCACTGGGCTGCCTTGTGTGCCCCAGGGTACAGCTTGGGCTCAGGAGCAGGCAGGCCTGGGCTCAAATTCTGACTCAGAAGTCTTGCTAGACACATGACCAGGTATAAATGACTGAACCGCTTTGAGACTTGATTCCATATCTCTGAAACAGGTTAAATCCTTACTCCACAGAGCTGCTGAGAGAATAAAATAATATATAGAGAAGCCAGGAAAGCACCTAGCACCCAAACAGTGATAACAATTACCACTGTTACTGGTATTGTTGCCATGGGCCTGGGGACAAGGCCGCCTGGGCCCCTCTACACTGAGCCTCCCTTTTTCCTCCCACCCCACTCTCCGCAGCCAAAACTCCCTCTGTCAAGCTCTATATCTAGGTCCCTCGGACCATTACTCCTCTTATGACCTCCTTTCCACCTAGAAGCCCACCAGCACCCAGCTCCAAAGTAGCAAATGTACAATTTGGCTACATCTCTGTGTCCAGCTCATCCCTAGTGGTCTTCTCCCCCTTCCTCATTCCAGAAGCCAGGCCACAGCACCGCACATCATGGGCTCCAGCCCCTACTGCCCCTGCTGCTGCCACATCCCCAGTATAGGGCCTCTCCCTCAAGCACACACTCCAGTGTCTCCCCTGGGGGGGGGCCTATGTTGACTTTAGGGAGTCCTGCCTCCCAGAGGGAGTATCTCTCCCAGCTCCGAGGCTCCCAAGAAACAACGCTTCTCATGCCCCACTCCCAGTGGGTTTCCCTCCAACATACTCTCCCTGTGCCTCGGGAAGGCCCAAAGGCATTAGGGGTGTGGAGGAGGCATACATTCTCTGGACCACAAAGAGGCCAGAGAGAATGGGGTAGCTGGCAGGAGCACTGCTCAGAACCAGAGGGTATAGGAGGGACTCCTGGAGGCATGGGTGTGCTGAGGCCCAGGCCCCCGGAAGAGCAGCTCTCAGCAACAGCCCCTACTAGGCTGCCAGGATGACAGATCTCTGGGACACCCCGGTCAGGCCTGCCCTCTCCCCAGCTCCCCAGATGAGTCCTCTCTGCCTCGCTGCGAGGACCCTTAGCACATCTGCTAGGCTACAGAACAAGGGAGGAAGCCCATGCCTGCCTCCAGAGTGGCACGAAAAGCCAGTTCTAGAGACAGACCACATCTCTGCTGCAGCATTGGCCAGCTGTGTGTCTGTGGGGACGTGCGTTCCCTTTTCTGAGCTTCAGTTTCCCTATCTACCCAACAGAGCTACCTCACAGGACTGCAATGATTACATGAGATGACATCTACTGAGCATCTAGTACAGCTCCACCCCCAAACCCTGAAAACCCAGTGCTCCTATCTGGAACCTCATACTTCATGGGAGGCAGAATTAGGGGTGGCAAGTGAGGGAGGGTGGGACAGCAGCCTGTGGGACCCTTTCCCAGATGTTTGATTCATTCCGAGCCAAAAAGACCAAAGGAAATTTCTCAAGGATCACGTGCTCCCACCCTCTTCCCTTTCTTCCAGGTCTTGGCTGTGCCTTTCTTCTTTTGCTGGTGGACTCCCTGGGGGTCCAGTCCTGTCACTCCTGTCCTGGGGGTGTGGGAAAAGGACAGCAGTAAGAAGCTGCCACCCACTCAGAGGACAAGCTCACGGACTGTGAATCATCTCGCCTGACCCCATAATTCTGGCACTGTGTGGTCATAACCTTAGAGGTCACTTGGATTTGGGCCGTTTTATTCACCAGCCCAAACCCTCCATGTCTGAGCAAGAAGCAGCCAGCAACAGCCCAGATGCCTGTCCTACACCACTTTACAGGAGTCTCTCTGGGTGCTGTGGTGTCCCAGATCATGGCTCTATGATCCCACTGCATCTCTGACCCCAAATGGTATTATTAGGTGGGTGTAAAGCCCAAATCCTCCTCCAAAGAATGAAGTTGTATGATCTGGAGGCCACAGTTTAGGGATGGGGGGATTCCCACGGGAAGCCTCAGAAGTCAGCCTCACCAGAATAAGTACAGCCTCCTCAGAAGGGACAACATTTCTGTAACTGACCTTCCCACAGACATTCAAGCACCCAGGTGTAAGGTATCTGAGCATCCTAGCCATCCAGCCGACCTGCCCCCATCAGGTGCCCAGCAGAGCTAGAGGACCAGGGACAGGAAGGGAAGCGGTCCTCAAGTCTGGCACCCTTTTCACCCTCAGGCTCGAATGACACAGGCTGCTCATCTCTAAAGAGCTGGATGACAGGATTTCCTGGAGCACAGGAGTCTGGAGTAAATTGGAAAGCTCAGGGCAGGTAGGCAGAAGAAAGCACCAGTGAGGTCATTAAAGAGAGGAAAGAACTCCAAGATCAGTCATGGGGCCCATAACAGCATCGCTGAAGCCACCAAGTTCAAAAATCTCTCCCTCCGGAGTGTCCTTGCCTTACGACACCTTAGTGCAAAAACTGATGCTCCCAGTGCTGACCCGCAGTCATGCAGGAAAATGAGTGTCCTGATGTCAGCTTGCGCTGCATGTGATATGGGGAGAAAGGCTTCCATGCTCAACAGTTAACAGAAGAGTTACTGCTTAAGCTCACGAACTTCAGATGTCAGGGAAACGTACTCACCCCAAAAGAGTCCTATTCCCACAGAGCTGGAACTATGAGCCACCACTCAAACCCCACAACCCCACAGCCCTTCACCCCTCCCTGCCACTCAGATCAGCCTGACCCATCCGACATGTTTAAATTTCAATTTCAAGTGTAGACTTCAATTTCCCTCAGCCTCCAAAAATACCCCAACTACGTGCAGGCCCCCAAACTACAAGGAAGGCTGCACAGCATCAGATTTCCTAGGGATTTCTGGGAGGCCAGAGGGAATTAGCTAGGAAGCTGAACTAAATAAAGAACTCTCTTAAAGACAGACGGGCTTCAATACTTTCTAAAGCAGAAGCTAACTGCTGAAGACGCCTGTAAGAAAAGGACCTGGGGCCTTCACTGAACGATGAAACCAGACTCTTTCACAATTATCCACAGCCCATTTGAAGGTAAATAGTTTTTTCTCAATTAAGTCAAACCAACCCTCCCCACCCCCAATCTTTTTTGCTTTACTATTTGTTTGACGTTTTCCCTTAACAACAGATCTGTATCTGAGTCACCCATCACGCATATCTCATTAGGGCAGGTTTCCCTTAGAAATAAAACCCCTTTTCTGGCAGTTCACTGCCTTCGGCCCCCAAACCTGCCGATTCGCTGACTAAACAGCAAGTGAGGGCTTTGGGACCTGGGATTCAATCCCCTCCCCTCTAGTATGCCCCAGCCTGGTCTCTACCTTCCCTCCGCCGTGCCCATCTCCCCTCCACCCTACTTCACCTCACATCTCCCAGAGGCTTCCTGAGCCCAAACCGCCCCACCCTGAGCCCTCCGGTTCTTTGGCCTCCAGCGGCCTCCTCCCCTCCCCCAACATCTACTCATCCTTTCCCCCAGGCCAGCTGTTCCTACCTGTTCTCAGACTCTGTCCCCCTCATGCCCCCTGCTGCCTGTGGAAGTCCTCCCGCCATCCACTCCTTCATCCTTCAAGGCCGAGCAGAGTGGACCAGAACCACTCGCCCTCCACTCCCTGGCCGCTCCCTCTCCTCAGAACTCGTGGTCAGGGTGTTTTCCTCCGCCGGGCGCGGGAGACCGCTTCCCTCCCAGCTCCAGCTAGCAGGTTACGCTTTCCAGAATCACCAACACAGTGCCAGATCTGCCTCCATGCCCCTCACGCCCCGGGTCTCCTTAATCACGACCACACTCGCAGCCTCCGCCAGCGGCGTCCCGGGTGAAGGCAGGTCGCACAGCGCCCCAGCCCCCAGGGCCGGCGGGAGGGGGAGGCAAAGTTGGGGGCGGGGTTGGATTCCTGTCTCCCCCAGCTGCCTCTGGGCCCGGGAGTTGGGGGAGCGGCACGGGTTCCGGGTGCTCACAGCCGGAGGCCAGCCCGGGACTGGAGAGAGCGCCGGGGTAGGGGCGCCCTGCGAGGGAGGGGACGCCGAGCTGCCCGCTCTAGCCGCCCTGTAGCAAGCATGGGCCGCAGACAAAGGCCTCCGGCGCCCGCGCCACGCAAGCACTCACCGCGCCGCGCCGCGCCGCGCCCACTCGCGGGATCGGGGACTCTGCAGAGCTGCGGAATCGCTGTTGCACCGCCGCCGCGAGGCCGGGCCCGAATGCGGGCCGGGGGCGGCCAGGGAGCCCGAGGGGCGGGGCGGCCTGGAGAAAGCCACGGGCCCGGAAAGGCGGCCGGGTGCGCCCAGAAGCCGGATTGGCCCCGCCGCGGCGGTTTGGGGCCAAGGCCTGAGCCCGCCCGCTGGGCAGGGCACGGGGCCTGGACCCCGCCCCTGACCCCAGTCAGACCTCGCGGGGAGACCTGGCGCTTCGGGAAGGGCGAGCTGGTCTAATCGCTGCCCCTCCCCGACCCCGTTCCCACAGTCCCAGGATCCAAAGTTTATTTTCTGCGAGGGGCACAGGTGACCGGTCCTGACTCTCCCACCCTACCCTGTTCTCACCCCCACACACTCTCTCCCGGCCGCTGGCGGCAGAGCCCGAGCTCAGATCCTGCTCTCCGACCCCAGGTCTATGTTTTCCCTCGGAATCAGACTGGTATCGCGGCCTGCAAAGGGTTAACTCTACTGCGAGGAATTAAGAGCTGCGGGGAGCGGGAGCGCTCTATAAATACAGCGCCGTGGGCGTCTGAGCCAACCGCAGCGTAATTTCCACGGAGCTGGTTTCCCTCTTTTCTTTCCACCCACGGCCGCCGGGCCAGCCCTGCCCCCAGCCTCAAGCCAGGCGCTGGCCATACCAGGCTCCAACCTGGGGAGCAGATCTTACCCTCCTGGCCTTGGGCTCTGTCCTTATAAGACTCAGCTCCAGCCTGGGAAGAGATGGGGGCCAGTCTCTCCCTTAGCTCGTCCTAAGACCTGTCCTATGACCTATTCTTCATCATTACAGGTGGTAACAGCTCCAGTGTAACAGGCTTCTGTGGGCCAAGGTCTTCCTGCGGGCCTGTTTGACTCCTCACAACAGCCCACCAGGTAGATGATATTATCCCCATTTTTGCAGATGAGAAAACCTGAGGCTTAACCTTGTGCTTTTGCCAGACCCACCAAGTGGCAGCAGAATTTTGGGGGAGGGCTTAGGAAATGTGCATGAATACATGTGTCTCTGCATGTCGACCACTGTTTTTAAGCCCATTACCATTTTATCTCATTTTGTCTTCAAAACAACTTGTAGTGAGGTAAATGCTATTATTATTCTCATCTTTAGATATAAGGAAATTAAGACACTAAGAGATTAATGAGGATATCCAACTATTAAGTTGAAGAACCAGGATTTGCCCCTTTGAAATTAGTGCTGAATTCAAACTTAACTCTGTGAGGGTGTGTGTGTGTGTGTGTGTGTGTGTGTGTGTGTGTGTGTGTGGTGCATGGGTATGTGTATTTGTGAACACATGTGAGCAACTCTGTATCTGACTGTGTGCACGTGTGTTTCTGAATGTAAGTTTGGTAGCAGCGGTGTCTGTCTGACTGCTCCTAGGAAAGGGGTCAGAGAGTGGGGGTGGAGGCCAGGCCATCCCTTCCGGCATCCCTGGAGGTCATCAGCCCTTCAATCCACACTGCTCCCCTTGCCCTGTCTGGCCATGTGCATGCAAGCAGCAATATCAGTACTAATATTGTTTTTAGTTGGGCTTCAGACACTGTGACCAGCTATCTTCAGGACATCTGATCATAGTCCTGGGCCTGGTGTTGACACAGAAGGCTTAACTGCCCAACGGTGAGAACAGGTTTTTCAGTCCTCCCTAGTGGGGCATTCTTAATCCAACAGTTCTTATATCAATCCCTGATTTCCGAGGCAGGACCACCGACTGCCGTTCCTAGCCCCCTCTCCCTCCCTGCCGTCTCTCTGCCCACTGTCCCTCTCTTCTAGAGAAATACAGTGTGTGATGGAAGTGGCCCCTCTGGGACCATGTCGTGGGTGCCGCTATGTCTCCACTCAGGTCACTGCTGGGGGAAAGCCCATCCTAGACCAGCAGGCTGTGTGAGCTGCAGCGTCCCCAGTCAGCCACTGAGGCTCTTACATTACACTGCTCCGCCATCTGCTTTTGCCACCAGAAGTGGCCCACTTCACCCAAGGCTACTAACCACCTCAGTGTGGATATTATTTCTTAGTGGCTTAACTGCTTTTCCACCTTTGTGACTAGCAGTTGCTAATGAATACAATCTTGTGTTTGTTTACTTAAAGCAGGACATTCAGCACAATGACATATTTGGCACCTCTTCTTTCCTCGTTTCCCATGATGAGATCATCGCAAACATAACTGCTAAAGAAATCTCTACAACCAGGCTCTCGAAGGAAACCCAACACCTCCACAGACAAGCAATGATGGGCCTTGGGTTTCCAAATGGGGACTTTAGCAGCAGCGAGGACTTGATCCATTCAGGGAGATGTGTGGCCACCTCTGAGGAATGACCACAGCCCCCAAGTTTCTCCTTTCAGCCTAGAAATTCCCCAGTCAGCCCTCATCCTGCTGGGGTCAGCATTGCTGTCAAAACATGATCCCTTTCCTCACCCTCCACCCTCTGTAAATATTCACTCAGTCCAATTCCTTCCACTTCAGGGGTGGTCCTCTCAAACTGGACGAGTCCACTTACTTCCCCAAGTCTCCTGGCACAGGTGCCAACTTCAATCCTGGTCTGTGCTGCCCAGTGTTCTGTGTTTGTCCCATGTCATATCTCCCCAGACATTGTGAGAGCTTCCTTAGAGCAGAAAACCCCAGCTCATTCTCCTCCAGGGTCCTCGTTCTTACTCCCTCACCCGCCCCCACTCTCTACCCGGTGCTGAGAGAACTTGAACTTGCAAACTTGAACTCTGGAGTGAATGCTTTAACCCTGGCTAGTGGGAGTGGGATGCAGACAGTACAGTAGTCTGGAAACCACGACCTCCCAGCCTGCCAAGCAGTGGCCACGTGGCCAGGGAAGTGGGCCAGCTGTTCTGGGCCTCTGCCTCTGCTTCCTTCACAACAGTCCTCCCCAGTCTCCTCTGTAACCTATTGAGCCAGCGGCTATTTCTCACTGAGAGCATCAGACGGATTTCCCCTCTGCCATGTAGCAGGCAGGACTAATGAAGCAGGTTAGCGCCAGGGACAAGTGGCCTGCAAAGCCTCCAAATTCCCTGCTCTTTTTTTTTTAATTAAAAATTTGTTTTTTCTATTACAGTTGACATACAATATTACATTAGTTTCAGGTGTACAACATAGTAATTAGACATTTATATAGCTTACAAAGTGATCACCCTGATAAATCTAGTACCCACCTAGCACCGTACATAGTTATTACAGTATTATTGACTATATTCCCTATGCTGTACTTTACATCCCTGTGACTATTTTTATAATTGGCAATTTGTACTTCTTAATCCCTTCACTTTTTTCACCCATCCCGCAACCCCTCTCCCATGTGGCAACCATCAAAGTGTTCTCTGTATTTGTGAGTTTGTTTGTTTTGTTTGTTCATTTATTCTAATTTTTAGAATGCCATGTAAGTGAAATCATATGGTATTTGTTTCTGTCTGAGTTATTTCACTTAGCATAATACCATCTAGGTCCATTATGTTGTCACAAATGGCAAGATTTCATTCTCTTCTATGGCTGAGTAATAATGGTCAATTAATCTATGACAAAGGAGGCAAGAACACACAATGGGGTAAAGACAGTCTCTTCAATAAATGGTGTTGGAAAAACTGAACATGCAAAAGAATGAAACTGGATCACTTTCTTACACCGTATACAAGCATAAACAAAATGGGTTAGCCACTTAAATGTAAGACCCAAAACCGTAAAACTTCTAATAGAAAACATTGCTCTCTGACCTTGTTCTTATCAGTCTTTTTTGGATATGTCTTCTCAGGCAAGGGAAACAAAAGAAAAAAATCAACAAATGGGACTTCATCAAACTAAAAAGTGTTTGCACAGCAAAGGAAACCAACAAAATGAAAAGACAACCTACTGAATGGGAAAAGATATTAACCAGTGATACATCTGAGAAGGGGTTAATATCTAAAATGTATAAGGAACTCATACAACTTAACACCAAAAACCCAAACAATCCAATTTAAAAATGGGAAGAGGACCTGAAGAGACGTTTCTCCTTGCTCTTTTTGACACAGGCCCTTGCTACCCTTTGCCCCCTCCTGGTCATAAGTGGAAATGCAGCTGAAGAGGGCATCCATCCTAAGTCTACAAAGATGCTCATCAACGCCCGTCCTGGAGTAGAAGGAGGAAGCTCGGGTAGGGGGAGCAGTGTGGGCTGAGCTGTGGAGGTCAGGGTTCCCAGAGAAGGTGGGCTTATAGCTGTCCTTGAAAGATAGAAAGAATTTGACAAGTGAACAGCATCAGGGTCTTGCCCGGATCTGGCGTTGCTCTAAGATAATGCACAATTGGGAAGCCCTCAATCTGATTACCCTGATGGTGCACTTCACGTGTCTGAGACCAGGAGAGGGGTCAGGTGATGGAGACAGTGGGGGAAAGCCATCCTTAAGAAGAGCAGAAGTGGGAGGGGAGAAAAAGCACCTGGGCCACATCCTCTGCCTGCCCCCTGGTGCTGTGGGTGAGGTGGGTGCTCCTGTTGAGGCCGCCTTCCTCTTGTGCACTGTCAACTACTCAAGGATGTGACTGCAGCCACTCTCCTCTCTCTCTTGCATCGTCAACCTTTTTACTCTCTCTCTGATTCAGTCAATCTCTTTCTTGAAATACTTTCTGCTTCTAGAACTCTCCTCTGGCTTTACTTCTCACCTCACTGGTTGCTCCATCTCTCTCCTATGCTGGGTCCTCATCTTTTCCCCAAACGCTTCATGTTGGAGAACCCCAGGACTCAGTACTCAGAACTCTTTTCTTCTGGGTCTACACCCACTCCCTTGGTCATCTCATCCCTTTAAATACTATGTGCCAACAACGCTTCAGTTCAAATCTCCAACTTGGACTGTCCTTGAATTCTGTATTTCCAACTGCCCGCTAGACACCTCCATTTGTCTCTCATTAAACTCATAATTTCCATTTCACCGCTCCACCACCAAAGAAACCAAACAACACAAAATCAAAATAAACCATTTCTCTTAGAGCCTTCCCATCTCAGGTGATGGCAACTCCATTGTTCCAAGTAGCTC